AACCACCACACTAGCATACATACACGAAAATTGGCCAAATTGGTGTCACATTTACACGGACGGATCTTCAGATCAGACCTCCAAACACACAGGTTTCGGAGTCCATACCACACAACCAACTACACAATCCTTCCGACTTCCAAACAACCAATCAATATTCACGGCAGAACTAATGGGCATGGCCTCAGCCCTCGATAGTCAAGAATCAAAAAACCACAAAAAATTCTAATACTACCGACTCCCTAAGTGGACTGCAAGCCCTCCAAAACAAAAATACCAAAAACCGACCTAAATTAATAAATCTAATACTTAATAGCTCCAACGACCTAACTAACGCAGGCAAACAAATAACCTTCTTGTGGATACCCGCCCACGTAGGAATATACGGTAATGAAAACGCCGATAAGGCAGCTAAACAATCCCTCAAAATCCCAGAAATAAGCTTAAACTTACCCATCTCAAAATCAGCAATTAAAAGTGTAAACAAGCAAAAAATCACCAAAAAATGGCATAACCTATATCTAAACTCAAATAGCCAAATCAAAAAAGTACTCAGCAAACCACTAACCAAACCAAAAATTCACCATCCATCAAAAAAAATCGACAGAGTAATCACTAAACTCCAAATAGGACACACCAACCTAAATAACCACCTAAAAAAAATAAAAAAACATACTACAGGTAACTGCCCACACTGCAAACAACTAGAAACCCCAGAACACGCACTCATCTACTGCACACACTACCTAACACATCGAACCGCATTACAAACCACGCTCAATCTAAACAAGGCTCTCACTCTAGAAGCAATACTAAACCCACAAAATAAACTAGAAAACTTCAAGGCCTTAGGCGTATTCTTAATCAAAACGGAACTAATAAAACGCATCTAAAAACACTATAATCCACCAAATCAAAATTACATAAACACACAAACATCCACCATACCCAGCTCCCTTAGTTCTCCTCCCCTACCCCATTGGCATCTATTCCAAATCTCAAAATTCCCAAATTCTATATAAGCAACCCCTAAAGCCCCCTCTTGGGTTGCACACACCACTTTCGCCCCTTTCGGAAACACATTAAATGGCCTGGCCGGGCCCGTGTGCGAAATACGCATCAGTCGGAAAGCGCACGTTAAATCTCCGAAGTAAGTAAGTATGGCCAACCCATCATTTCCACGGTTTCTTGGGAAATCGTGTTGTTCTGACTTAATTCTTACATGATTCGTAGTTGACTTGGGACATTCGTGGCTCTTTCGGGATGTTTTCGGGTTGATGACAAGAAATTTTGGAAGCCACGAATCGCTAAGAATAGCCAAGAATGCAAAAGAAACGATTTATGAAGCTGTTACGGAACATAAGAATTAATTACGAATGGATTACGTGCTAATGTTTTGGAATCAAATAAGATTCATTTAAGAACTTCAAGAAATGATTGAGATTTATCTACGAACATGAACATTTCCTATTTGGGGTGACTCGGGATATTCGTGGTCGTAGTGAAATGGGGGCATTACGTGGACCAATGCCAACAGAAACATCAACTTTCTAATCAAATGAAATCAAAATAATACTGTCGTAACAAGAGAACTATATATGCAGCGAAACAATAATGTAGGTGGGGAATTTATGGATACGATGTATAAATTGATAATTTCGGGTTATACTGTTGAAAAAGGTATCATCCCCTCAGTCATACAGGCCATTTGTTATACAGCTTATAACAACATAGCATATGCATGACTGGACCACTAATCCCCTGCCTTCTACCTATCCATATGGAATGTTCCACACAGATCATTAAAACTGTGTTTATGTTTAAGTTTGAATTATAGGGAACACCAGGATTATAATTATGAATATTCATTTGCAGATTTTAGGAAAACAAATTGAAAGGCAGAAAAGTAATTGATAAATTAGTATGGTTTATTCAACATAATATCATAAATATGAACCATGTTTAACAAGAATTTATAACATTCAACATTCAAAGCATCATAATTGCGGATAATGGCTATCCAAGCTTTAATAGGTGACCTGCAACATCAAGGAACTGGATTGGACTTTTCCTTCCTTGGATCAGTTGATCTTCCAGTCTCTGGAGTCTACTGTCAACCTCACGGTAGACCCGTTTTCTACTTGGTTTAGGTGCACCGAGGTTGATCTGCGCCAAATGTCACCATGTCAGCTTTCTCAATCATTCGGAAGACTTCTATCAGACAGTAGATGTTGTGGTGTTGGTGAGGAAGACTCAGGATTCAGCTTGTTTGTGGAAGCCTTCCAGGTTGTTGTTGGTCCTCAGGCCAGTGGTGTCATGGTGATTCCATAGGAGAATCGGAAAGCGAGCATCATAATCTACCAAAGTCAATACCATGTAGTCGTTGAAGGTCTCAGCTCTGGGTAGATCAGGTGTGTGCTGCATCGCTTCTAGCAAGGCGTCTTGGACATCATCTTGATCTTCTTTATATAGGCTACAGCCAACCCGAGGTCTTGTGTCTTCCTCCATATGGCTTGTGTATGTCTCCAGGCATCATCTAGGTCCACTTGGGCTCTGGTTTGGGGCAGGACAGGTATGGTCTTCCTTCTGTGGCGGTAAAGGGCACTGCTCATGCTGGGGAAGGCAGGGAGGGCTTGGGCTTGGTCATCATCTTCGTCGGCAATCTGTTGGTTGTGGAGCTGCTGTATCGGGGTTGTTTCCTCTCTTGCCCTCTTCCTCATGTTGCTGACAAAACGAACTCGGTTTGAATTCTGCCGGGGGGGGGGGGGGTTGTGCTCTGACACATTCCTCACAAAATCACCAACAGTAGTGCACTTGCCGGAGCAAGATTTAATTACACAACGCCAGTGTTATGCTGTCTGTCTTGTTGCATTCTTGTTGAACAAGTATCCTTCAAAGAGAACCTGCCGGGTACTGCAGGCTGACGTAACATATTCTACAAGTCGCAGAGCTATGATTGTGAATGATGTAAAAGCAATTGATACAGTATTTATACATATGTGTGTGATCACAAAATACAACTCATCAATAGTTTCTCATCTCAAACATCTCTAGTCTCCTTTCATAGAATTACATGAATTACATTCATAACCTCAAAGGGCAAAGTAATTATTAAAACAACATATTAATTATTTGTTAGTAAAAGAACTTACAGTGACTTCGATCATTTTAATACCCTCTTCTCACAAGATAACCAGCTCACAACAACTCACCCTTTATGAATTTAACATTGTTGTTTTAACAAAGACCTTAACTCAGAATGTTGGGTCACACCATTACAGCTTAAGAGTGCTCTAATTACCCCCCTACTCAACTGTATGATGATTGGCAATAACAAGGTGTATGACAAATGGCCTGTCTGACTGATTGGGAGGGGGGTTTCCACTTTGAAACATCTGTCCAGATTGATTGTACATTTGAACACATTATTACATTAAAGTGCAGCGTTAGAAATTGGCACTAGTCCTGTAGTCCTTGCCAAACTGCCCAATAGTTAAGGTATCCTAAGGACTAGTAGAAATTTGCCATTTTTAAGGGTTTTGCTATGTTATCATTATAAGGACTAGTGGACTAAAATTGTTGGTTTCTACCCCTGAAGTGCCTAAATCACTTATTCTGAAATAAGAACAACTTAGCATAATGCAAACCTTTCGGTGCGTTTTACATACTGCTTTGCATAATTATGTAGATATGCTACTACAAATGAGACGGTGAATTGCATCACAATTTACATTTACACACCAAAGTGACCTTATCTCCAAGGATGACATGATGTGGAGGATAAAGACGTCACATGGAAATAGTTTTCATGTTTTAGGATATTTTCTAAATCAAAGCTCAACATTTCATGACATATGTTTATCTAAATGTGTAGACTCGTCAAAAATGAAACAGATGAAAAACGCCCCGTGAAGGTTCCGGATTGGAATTGGTCTTCAGCAACCCATGCTTGTCGTAAGAGATGACTGACGGGATCGGATGGTCAGGCTCGCTGACATGGTTGATGCATGTCATTGTATCTCAATGCATAGATGGAATGCTCATGATGTCAATCACTTGATTGTCTGGTTCAGACTCGATTCTTTACAGACTGTTGTCATGGAGCTGGAATATTGATGTGTGCGGCGTAAAACAACAAAAAAACAGATGAAAAACATGCAATATCTTGAAGGGACTGTGTAAGATGTGATGCCAGTCAGCAACATTCCTGTAACAGCCAGTTAAAAACAGGCCTGTCAGACAAACCAGTGGCTATTAGTATGAAAATCGCCCCACGCTGTCGGGGTACAACGAAACAGTCTGCCCTGTCACCTCATCCTCGTTAAATATCAGTCTTCCTTAATGCCACTACTGGCTATCTATCGACCTGTACGGAAAGCCTGCAAACGTGCGCAGTAGTGTTTACAGTGCAGTCTACACCTTCGATTGGCTACAGATCACAAAACATTGTTTACATCTAAATACTAATCTCTCCCCTCCAAATAGAGTGCTTTACTTCATCGAAAGTGAACTTTGAAAAAAGGGATCAAAAAGGAAATACAGTGGTGTTTTTGAGGGGGAAGCCGTCTTGCTTTCCAAAACCTTATCAGTCTGTGTCCTCGAAAAATGATGAATTAAAAGCATTTATTTTCACATGACCTATCCTCGTAAATTGGTATCTTCCTAGAACCCAGACTGCTTGCATCATTGCCATGGGATTAAACGTTCAACTTTTGAGAAAACACAATAGACTAATGACAAACTTTATAAAACATCCTTCATGAACAATCACATACCTCAGTCTAACATCAAGAGCAACAACAAACTAATACAGTGATGGGATTAACAGTTTGTGTTATTGCAAGATATAGGGATTAACATCATGTAAGCTATATGACTGTTCAAATATACCAGCTTATGTCTCTCAGCTGATTCTTGTCTTACATTGTTATTTAACTATCATGACTGCCCCATAATGACTTGACTGCAGAAATGAAAAAAAAATAAAGACAGCACAATGATTAGGCACAAGTTAGCTTTAATTTAAATAGAACAATATCATGTCAAACTTTAAAACAAGATCGCGAAAGAAACTTTGTCACTGTTAGTGATTAGTAGCTTACACGCGAATAATGAAATATAATCATCTTACACAAACTGATCTAAAGATTGAACAGTTTTTTTACAGTTTCGAAAATTGACAAAGCCTGTACAAAACAACTATATTTCTTGTAGTGTTCTCGATATGAAACCAAGTCTTTGACGAAGAGCTTCTTTCTGATTTTTCAGTGTTTCCTCCAAACTGACTGCCTCTGAAATTAGTTGATCAAGCTGAGATACACAAAATGTCTCATAGTTTTCGCTGTCCTCAAACGTTTCGGCAAATTGCATTGTAGCCATTCGAACTTCTGCAGACAACTCTATTATAAGTTTTGAAACTTTATCATGCTTTGTCGATTTGTCACCCATTCTCTCAGAATCTGAATCCGAGTATATCTCCACACAAGCGTTTTCTGTTACTTTTGCGTCCTTGGATGAAATCACCGGTTCACTTTCTTCGCGTCTCGTATTATTACTTTCTTCATTGGTTTCATCAAAATCGGGATTCTGTCGAACTGCATCTTCTGCAAGTATATCCTGATCATGGTTTATAAGCTTTTCAAATCCAAAAGGCTTTGAGGGGAGCCCATAGCGTATGGACGATTTGGGGATGTCTGGTGTTGTCGGATGGACAAATCCTTCTTCATCTACCTTTCGCTTTCTTGTTGAATTATTGTCTGTTTGATTCCCCTCTGCATCCGAAACTGACAACCCATTTGTAATTTCACCGTCTCCAGATGACAAATTGAAGTTGTTCTGATTTTCATTAACAAACTGGAACATGTTAGGCAGGGGTGTGTAAGTTCCATCGAACGCAGACGACAGGAAGTTGTGGTTGGGAATAAGAGTTACTTCCCTTAGGTCAGTAAGCTCCAAGCTCTTCACAGCGATAGCTCGTTCGCGAAGCTCTCTATCTGCCAACAGTCACAGCGGAACACATGCATTATAGACACCAATCCGTTTATTTGATGCTTCTAATAAGCCGTACGCGACAGGATCATTATTTGAAAAATAGGGCGATAAATCTCAAAATGAGCAGAACAAATTACCCCGCTGGCATTTGTATGGTTTAATGTGATTAAACTTTGAAAATGAATATCAAAGTCATGCATAAACGTCGAAAATGGGACTTTAGATCGAAAAAGTATTCGAAAATAGGTTTCATCATGGCGTGCGACAATCTCATCAGTGACATCAATCCACATTTCAGCGAATACATTGTATTTTGTATCTACTTTAGAAATTAAACATTTCATTTACTTATGGAAGTATTTAATTCAAGCCGTTGAGTAGGGGACAAGCCCAGTCTGTCATACAGACCCTGAAACAAATATATCCAATACAGCACATGTAAGTCTATAATGTTTGCCAAGTCTAGATCTGAAAATGAAGAAAAGTCTCTGGGCTCCTTTTTATTATATTCTATAACTTTAATTTAACAACTGTTTTTTTTTCTGTAAAATATGTTCATTTCAGAGAATAGATGGTAGTCTAGGGGGGAGCACCAAAAGCCCAGTTATTTTAGCATGGCGTCTGGAAACCGTTACTAAGGCTGAAGGGGTCGTGGTCAGCCCACATACTACAGAAAAGTACGTTTCTGTTTACTGAAATGTACCCTAGCCAAAATCAAAATACAGAAACGTACCTGGTACCCTAAACGGCGGACGAGTCCATATTCCACAACCCGAAACCGGTTCATGTTGTAGTTCCGATTCGCCTGATTACGAGTGCATGCGTGCATTGCGGAATATTAGATTAATGTATGTAAGTCACTATGCATGATCGTGATCATGATCATGTCATGAGTATAGGCTGCTTGAGCTGGGAATGTCATGAGTATAGGCTGCTTGAGCTGGGAATGGCATGAGTATAGGCTGCTTGAGCTGGGAATGGCATGCGTATAGGCTGCTTGAGCTGGGAATGGCATGAGCATAGGCTGCTTGAGCTGGGAATGGCATGAGTATAGGCTGCTTGAGCTGGGAATGGCATGAGTATATAGGCTGCTTGAGCTGGGAATGGCATGAGTATAGGCTGCTTGAGCTGGGAATGGCATGAGTATAGGCTGCTTGAGCTGGGAATGTCATGAGTATAGGCTGCTTGAGCTGGGAATGGCATGAGTATAGGCTGCTTGAGCTGGGAATGGCATGAGTATAGGCTGCTTGAGCTGGGAATGGCATGAGTATAGGCTGCTTGAGCTGGGAATGGCATGAGTATAGGCTGCTTGAGCTGGGAATGGCATGAGTATAGACTGCTTGAGCTGGGAATGGCATGCGTATAGGCTGCTTGAGCTGGGAATGGCATGAGTATATAGGCTGCTTGAGCTGGGAATGGCATGAGTATAGGCTGCTTGAGCTGGGAATGGTATGCGTATAGGCTGCTTGAGCTGGGAATGGCATGAGTATAGGCTGCTTGAGCTGGGAATGTCATGAGTATAGGCTGCTTGAGCTGGGAATGGCATGAGTATAGGCTGCTTGAGCTGGGAATATCATGAGCATAGGCTGCTTGAGCTGGGAATGGCATGAGTATAGACTGCTTGAGCTGGGAATGGCATGTGTATAGGCTGCTTGAGCTGGGAATGGCATGAGTATATAGGCTGCTTGAGCTGGGAATGGCATGAGTATAGGCTGCTTGAGCTGGGAATGGCATGAGTATAGGCTGCTTGAGCTGGGAATGGCATGAGCATAGGCTGCTTGAGCTGGGAATGGCATGAGTATAGGCTGCTTGAGCTGGGAATGGCATGAGTATAGGCTGCTTGAGCTGGGAATGGCATGAGTATAGGCTGCTTGAGCTGGGAATATCATGAGTATAGGCTGCTTGAGCTGGGAATGGCATGAGTATAGGCTGCTTGAGCTGGGAATGGCATGAGTATAGGCTGCTTGAGCTGGGAATGGTTGAGCATAGGCTGCTGGGAGCTGGGAATGGCATGAGTATAGGCTGCTTGAGCTGGGAATGGCATGAGTATAGGTTGCTTGAGCTGGGAATGGCATGAGCATAGGCTGCTTGAGCTGAGAATGGCATGAGTATAGGCTGCTTGAGCTGGGAATGGCATGAGCATAGGCTGCTTGAGCTGAGAATGGCATGAGTATAGGCTGCTTGAGCTGGGAATGGCTTGAGTATAGGCTTATGAGCTTATGTCATGGTGCATTATCTGTCATCTGTCCATTGCTAACTTTCGAAACCTCCTCTGAATCTACAAGGCCTATGAAACTGAAATCTCAGCAATGATATTCTAAAACATTTACAAAATATCACTTTTGCGTATTACAAAGCCAATTCAGATGTGGCATTATGAAACTTCATACGGGTTATGGGGTTTACATTGGTGTATTTTTTGCTTGATCTGGGAGGAACATCTTAGATATTTACCACTTGGTGAAACCCACCAGCGTGGAAATGTTGCTGACAAACCAAGGAAAATAATCATGGCAATTATGGGATTTGAACCCATTGTCATAGATTTCTGGCATATGAAAGAGATGCAGCTTAGTCTCTGAAAATGTTAAATATTAATAGAAACAAATAACTTCATTTATTTTAAAAGTAGACCCAGTGAGATGGGCTGGGCGGAAAGAAAATAATATGGTTCAAGGACTGTGAGACAGACAGGGATGCAACTCTGCCCAGCAAATTGAGGTGGCTTCTTGGATGACTGTATTACCTGTGCCTTCTATGGCCTTTAACTTTCGCATACCTCGTTATGAAGATTGTTTGTGTTTTCAATATCTTCTCTGAAAATCATATTTTTAATAGGCTGAGATTTTGTGTTTTTGATCCCACTAACATGATGCCAATACAACTTCAAGCTGTCTAGACATGGCAACCATATTGAATACATTCTTTTCACCCTTTAGAGAGCCACTTCTGCATTTACATTATGAAATTTGATATACAGTAAATATTTGGTAAACCCCAAAACAGGGTCATATTTTGCAAGTTATTCTTATATTTGGAACTGCAACATTTTGTCTTCATGTGCTGCTGCAGCCATGATGAATGTGTTCTTTTGACCCGTTTCATTACCAATTATTATCCCCCACAACATGTTTTGCGGGGGTATTAAAATGGACATGGTCAGTCCTTGCATTCATCCTTCTGTGTAAGATTTTGAAAAAACGTTTACTATTTTCTTCACCAATCATGGTACATGGATAGGCCTAGTGGTGACCTGGTGCCTGTTGATAGTTTTGGATTTTTGTAAAATGTATCTTTTTAGTTTCCATGGCAACAACTTTGACTGAAAAAGGGGGGGTAGTGTTCGTTCTTGGAACAGACCTAAACCCAATTACTTTCCATTAACTTGTGTACAGAAACGCATGCATTAAATGAAAAACTCAGATTATTAAAACAGCTCGCGTAAATGCCCAATGAAGCTTTTTTCAGCATGCATACAAAGGAGCTAATTTCTAAAACACAATTACATGCTAATTTACTTCTGAGTCAAACCTATGAATTAAGAACATTATTTCAATTTTTTTTAAATCTTAAAATGTTCACTAATTTTGGGAAAGACCCAAGAGAGTGATGAATAGATGAGTGAAAAAATATTGGTTACCCAATGAAATATGTAATAACCCAATTAAAATAGAAACCCTGAGTAAAAACTGAATTGCTCAAAAAGTTATCTGGAGCTCAGTTACATGAGTCAGTTTAATGGCACCAATACAATTGGCACATCTAGCCTCAATTAGGTTGAATCTGGTAAACTGTGATTATATGAGGTGACGACATTGCAGCCACATTGAATGTTATTTTGTCCAGGTACTCATGTATCATGGTGTTATTCATTTAACAGGCTCTGATACTATATTTCAATCTCCAATGTGCTATGTTTCAGTGATCATATGTTCCATTTGGTCATGCCATCATCTTTCACCTTTTTGTGTCCTAATAATGGAATGTACATCACTACCCTAAACAATCGGGCAAAGTAGGAATCGAACTGTACTTCTCACAACCGCTAGCTCACTCTTTGACCATGATTCGAAATGAAAAATTGCATTGAAGTGGACGCGCACCGTAACGTTATGATGACGTAAAGATGGTGTACACCTCGGATATAGACGCTTTCGTGCTTTTTGTACGCGTGTACAAATATTCTAGTAGAAAGCTTCAATGTTACGATAGCGTTGTTTGCGATTACTATTGTCTGTATTTTCTATATTATCGGTGTCGACACAACTCTATGAGTCGCATTTCAAACAGTTTCACCGATGATTGTACTATAAACGATGATATCGTACACTCTTGGTATTGGAATACGTACATGCTACTATTTTGTTGTTTATTCGGATATTAAAGCCACGTACAGCTTTAGGTTAAACAGTTGATAATAAGTATGACATGTTCGTACATTCGATATAATCGGGTGTGAATAGCTCTCGTCAACAGTCTCTGGTGCGGTCAGCGCCAATGTCGCTCACGCACGGTGTCATAACTATTGTTAAGAAGTGTCAGTTTCAAATTGTTCGCGGCTATCGAAGGTAATGAAAACGGTAACATATTTCTTAATATACTACTCAAAAGAAGTTAAAGAACACCAGATATATACTGAGTCAAATTAAAAACTTCACATGTTAAAAAGTAATCCCATATGATATACAACGGACAAATGTATCAGAGAAGGTAATTTGTAATCATTATAATGTCCTAAGAAGGATTTTAATTAACGGTGGTAACCATAATTTGTTCCAAGCACCTACTGTATTCGGTAATGACATCAACAGTTTAAATCATAAGTCCCAAGCACGAGAATCTGATGGCACACAAGTTCAGTAGCATGTATGGCCACCATGTTCGTTGACAACTGCCAGACAACGCCTCGGCATGGACCTTGTGATGCTTGTGAACACATGATTGGGAAGACGACGCCATTGCTGCTGCAAAAATGGTGCCAAGATCTTGCAACTTCTGTGGTTGGTTCTGGAGAGTGCGCAGACTTCTGCCAAGAGCATCCCAGACGTGTTCGATGGGGTTGAGGTCGGGAGACCTTGACGGCCAGTCCATGACGTTGACTCCCGCATTCTGAAGGAAATTCCTTGTCAAAATTGCTGTGTGGGGTCTGGCATTGTCGTGTTGGAAGATCAAACCGGGTCCATGTGCTGCAATAAAAGGCAGAAGTTCTGGTGCCAGTACCTGGTCGCCGTAAGCAGCAGCGTTGAGGTTGCCACGGATGACAAGAAGCCTGGAACGTGCATTGCCGCAGAAAGCACCCCACACCATGACACTTCCGCCTCGAAATCTGTCAACTTCCTATACACAACACTGGGCGTAACGTTCATGACGGCGCCTCCACACCCTCGCCCTACCATCAGCAAATCGAAGATTAAATCGGGATTCATCACTGAAGACGACTTGATTCCAATTCCTCTGAGTCCATCGTAAGTGTCGCTGTGCCCACAATTGACGTTTACGTCTGTGTAATTGAGTCAGAATCGGCCCGCAGTATGGCCGTCATGCTTGAAGGTGAGCCGTTCTCAGAGGGTTTCAAACAGTTTGCGCACTCAGTCTACCCCTAAACAGTTCATTTCTGGTTGATGTAGCCGTCAAAAATCGGTTACGGAGGTGACGTAAGACAATCTGACGATCCTCTGCATGTGACGTCACACGTGGTCGACCTGGCCGAGGGCGATCAGCGGTGGTACCCGTTTGCTGTAGACGCGTCTGTAAATCATAAACAGTCCGTCGACTACAACCCATCGT